TTTTGTTGACCTTTGTCCATGGAAGGTCCCTGCAAAATTTCATTGAAATTGGTTCAGGGGTTTTGGAGAAGAAGTCGAAAATGTAAATTGTTTACGGACGCACGACGGACGACGGACGACGGACAAAAGGCGATCGCAATAGGTCACTTGAGACTTTGTCTCAGGTGACCTAAAAAGTTGGCAAATATGAAACTGCCAATAACAAAGTGTTATCAGGAAAGAACTTACATGGCAGGATATTTTTGTATCGATTACGTGGCTTGTTCTCCAGTCTCTGTCCTTCCTTCCTGCTGTATAAATGTCGCACTTCCATTTGTTGTAGTTGCTGTAAAAATTCAAAAAAAGTTAAACAAAACTAGAAGATGTCAGTAACACATGAACGCCATCTGCCCAGTTCACTGGTGACATTGAATCTATTGCCAAAATAGCAATGGTTGACCTAGGCTATATATAGCAACGGTAACCTTGGCATCGGACACTGAACAAGGAACTCATTCAAGCTGTTCACATACTTGACCTTTTACGTACACTTTGGTGAAAATCTGTTGATAAATAAAGTGAAGCAATGGGTTGGCACAGGTGTATAAAATCCATACAGTAGCTAGACCCTAAATCTTTAGTTTCTCTGGCACAATGATGTGTTATTCATGCAGCCTTATTATAATTACATATGCACAAATTTTACCACTTATTTTTTCTAAAAAATATACATCTGTATGAAATCTGAAATTACCCCTGGAGGTCATAATATATTTCAGATCTAATTCAAAATTAGTCTTGAGTAAGGAATTTAAACCACTGTATTTGTAGGAGATTTTAATGAAAATCAAAGCTATCATTTTAGTTGGTCACACAGAAACCAGAGTCACTTTAAAATATTTTTTGTTTAATAATCTGATTAAGAAGTCTTACATACACAAGATGTGTCTTGGAATTGAATTGGTTCTTCAAACCAGAGATAACTAAATGTCCATACCTCAAACTCGTCCCAGAAGCCGCCCTTGGTATTTCCCACTGAAGTCTGGTCCTTTGATTGTTTTTCCTTCTCTAATTGTTTCACACGGTTTTCTAGCCCAGAGGCAGGAATCCTTGTGGCATTAAACGGCTGCAAAAATTACCCTTCACATTTGAGTATACAGCGAAAGCATTATATGTACATGACTTTGAGATATTAAGTATGACACTTGATATATCCAAGTTAAAAAAGCAAAACAAAGAACCATCATAGGACCGATGAAAGTAAGTCTTGTATCAAACTGGTATTTGAGAAACAAGGGAGAGTAGGTATTACAGGAAATGCATAGTCACCAACTTCCGGATTATAAACATCTCTTCAGGTAACGACACAAAGCTTTGTTTAAGTTCACTACACTATCCCATGACGTGCTCACATACAAAATTTGACAAAGAACGTAGTAAATGAGATATGCCTTAGGACAATATATATAGGAGCATGTTAAACAAAGGGCAATAACTTTGTAAACAGTATGGAACGGGCCCATTTTCATGCTCAAGCATGGATTTTGTGTTAGAACTAACATTCTTGAAACTCACCTAAATCATGTGACAAAGCTATATCAAAAGGTCAAATGTAAATATTGAAAATGGTATTTGGCTTTGAGCCTTTTGAAAATTCTTCAAATTCATTCAGAAAATGTGGATTTTTATCAATTATCACCAGAACAAGAAATTCGGCTTGAGCACAGAATCTGAGTATGAACATGAGAACAGTTTCATGTGTATGGGCCCTGATTTTGGTCTGTGACACCTCATTATCCCAAAATAATGCAGCGACTGTAGGTGAAAGGAAATATGTAATATGTCCTAGACAAAGTGACACAGACTGACTCAACAAAGTGACACACAGACTGACTCAACAAAGCGACACACAGACTGACTCAACAAAGTGACACACAGACTGACTCACAGACTGATGAATGAAGTACAAACATACAGTCCCCTCCGGTAATACTAGTGGGGGATTAATGACATACAAACATACAGTCCCCTCCGGTAACACCAGTGGGGGATTAATGACATACAAACATACAGTCCCCTCCAGTAATACCAGTGGGGGATTATTGACATACAAACATACAGTCCCCTCC